TGCTTCTCCCTCTCCCACTCCCCCTGCTTGTGTTCCTTCTCTCGCCGTGTCTCTCTCTGTCAAATAAATAAATAAAATCTTCAAGAAAAAAAAACCTATCTTATTTGAGTAAAATTCTTAATTCACTACATCCTGTCAAAGCACCAGAAGTCTCATTTCCGGACAATGCTGTGTCAGTAATATTAAAATGGGTAGTAGAGTTGCATTATGTCTAATTTTGCCAGTGAAAAGGAATGGTAAAAGGTAAATAACTTTTTTTAGCTCAAGGACACCAAAAAGTACAGTAATTTGTTAAACACAATCTTAGTAGCCTAAAAGAGAAAATTTATAAAGACAAGGGAACAAAATTTTTTACTTCTCAATGGCATTATGCTCATTATTTCACTTGAGTGTTTCTAGGACATCAGCCACCATAGTACTTAGTCAAGCTCAACTATATTTTATTTTGACTTCATGCAATAATATGACTGTATACTTTACATAATCATGAAAATTAGCCAATTGATTTAAGACTTAAAATAAATAGATGAGGACCAAGAAGAAATTTCACCCAAAAGTCGGTCTCCACACTATTGCCTAGTACTGTAAGGCTATTGATCTAATAGGCTATGTTACAGGCAACACCATCACCATGACATTTAGAAGGAATATTGATGGATTTTATAGTATCTGAAATTTTTTTCATGTACACGAGACATGTTTGCACATACATTATGATGAGTTTATAATTAGTTTTATGTTTATTGGGGTTTTTTTGGGGGGGGGGCGAGGGAGCCATGCATGTGATGTAATTGCTATGGACTTGGGACTACTTTCTTTTGCCAACAAGATTGTTTGTGTGTGTGTGTGTGTGTGTGTGTGTGTGTGTGTGTGTGTTTATTGTAAGGTCAGCCCCTTTGGCATATACCTTAAATGTAACATATCTGAGGCTTGACTGTGTTAAAACTTTCATTATATGAAAAAGACTGGCTATAAAATATATCTCCCGAACTTTGAAATTTATATTTCTGAAACATTAGAGATACAAATATTTAAATATCCTTAACGTTACACTGTTTATTACTGATAATTCTACCTAAATCCAACCAAACAACAAGTGTTTCCAAAATTTCTTTGGCATGATGGATAAAATATTATTGAATTTGAAGTAATGAACATTTGACTAATGACTTTCTAAAGTGAAAGTGTATAAATAATCACTTTCTAGAGGTAAATGAACATGGAAATTGGCATTCAGTAAATGTCCCACAATATAAAACAGTGCTTCTTCGATCCCATATCCCATTCCTTCACACGATGGCTTCAATGCTCAGTCCCACTCACCATTGTAGTTTCTGCTATTGACCCAAAGCTGTTGATAAATATGTTGCAGGTAACATTTACAGGAGGCCCTGCAAGTTGAACAATAAATAGAAAATTTGACAGGTTGTGTTCATGGCATAATCAAGTCATGTTTTTCTCTTGCCAGTGGCATGGTAGCACTTACCATGGTGGTTTCTGTGACTGATCCAAAACTGTTGATAAAAATATTGCAAGTAACGTTTACTGGAGGACCTGCAGAATGCAATAAGAATATTGCGATAGACATTGAAGCAAAAATACAGCTCCATCAACATCTGTGCAAATGACTAGAGATGTAAACTAAATTAAAATGATGGTGAGATTGCAAAAAAACAAAAAACAAAAAAAATGAAAAACAAAAATGCTTCGCCCAGAGGTTCAGAGTGATTAACATTTTCACTAGTATTTCAAATAATGACAGTTAAGCAATGATAGCTTACCAGCAGAGTTTTGGATTTAGAAAATATAAGCTGGAGACTATTAAACTGAATTCACTGTCAGTAGTTGCTATCAAAATAGCCTTTTGGGTGGGTGGTTTTCTTCCACCTGACGCTCATCAACATTGTAGACATCAACAGTGGGTGCCCCACGGTGTTGAGACAGCCTGGGTCATGAGTCCAAATGGAGCTGCATTTTGAACTGTGGGTGAGAAGTGGGCCAGAAATACCCACTTCCTTTTCTATGACTCCCTTTAAATCAGTGGGTCTAACTGATTCTCTTGATACCTTTGAATTTACCCCATTCATTCTTTATATCCTCTGACCCCCCAATGAAAACTGATGTACAGAAACACAAAACCAAAGAAAATGAGCTGATTTTAAGGAAGAAACTCAGAAATGTCACTTAACGCCCAGATTGTAAAGCAAGGGTTATTAATTCTCATTGTGCTTTCAATAGAGAACCCACTTTTTTTCTCCAGAGACCCAGGGGCTAGCTCTCTTTTTCTCTTGCTCTTGGTCTCCCACCCAAGCACTAATCAGGCCCTTTTCTGCTTCGTATCTGCGATCAGAAAACAACAGGTATGTTCAGGGGGGTATGGCCACAGGCCCTTTGCCCTTCGATGATAGGTATCATTGTCTAATGATTTCCAGTTTCAGGTTGTTCTGGGGAATATATTTATTGCCCTCATGTAGTTACCCCCTAGTGCTTTCTGGGATAAGAACACACTGCCATGAACCATCTATTCACTTGCTGATTTCCCCGGCGGAAAATTGTTTCTCTTCACTCAACACGGTCTCAGCAACCTAGTAGGCTACACTCCAGTTGGTTCTGTACCCAACAAGCCACTAGGATCTAAGTGAGGAGGAGTTTAGGTTGAGGTCTCCCTCTCAGGCTGGTAGTAAAACAACAGCAATTAAATTTAAGTCTCCAGGCAAGAGCCTTCAGTGAAAGAGATGTGTTGAGCTTTTTTCTTTAACATAACTAACTTTTGTTTTTTTAATGAAAAACAGTTGTGTTTATTTTTTTTTAATGTCTGTAGGTATAGAATCACAGGCACCCCCCTCCCATTACCAAAGCATTTTTCAGCCTATGTCTTTGAGATATTCCAAGCCTTATTGTTCCTCCCCTCCCCTCATATTTTGGCATCTGCCAAGATGACCTCCTCTCCAGGGTCAATTTCTACTCTGCTTTATTTGTTTTTCTCTTTTGGTTACTCAAAACAAAACAAAAATGACTTTCTTCCTTGGCCATAAAATTCTATTCTATAACAAATATATTTTTCTGCTAATAAGAAATAAATTAAGACAAGGTAGAAACAAGCCATAAGAAATTGTGTATGTTTGCTTTTTTTCTTCTCTTCACAATAAAATATTTCATTTTAAATAGCCCAACTCAGGATGGAAAACTTTCACGAATTTTTATATACAAGATAGATAAGAAAATGAATGATGATTGGATAAAGAAACAGGAAAAAGAGAAATGTTATCTTAAGAAGAAGAAGTTGAAAATTCAAATATAGATTGTCTTCCACTACACATTATCCATTTGTCTGGCCTCCCCAATTGGCTTGCAAGCATTTAGGAGGCTGGATCATACCATCGTATATTTATTTTTATCCTGCCGTGTAAATGGAAGTGTGAGTGTATTGCTGGAACTCAAGATATTTTTTAAGCTACCACATACTGACACACTGTATTAGGCACGTTTTAAAAAGTATCTAGTTTAATCCTCAAAAAAGAGGAATTGTTTTACTGCACCAGCACATGTTTTCAGATGAGGAAACTGGGGGTGAGACAGGTTAAGTAACTTGCTTAGAGTCCTGCCACAGTAATTAGAAAAGCTGACCCTCCATGCCTTATCATTCGGATTCCCAAAAACCTAAACTTTCAACCACTTTGCTGCACTGCATTCATTATAGGATAACCTCTCTCCCTCCTGACCTGCCAACCGTGGTGCTTTCCACTGCTTTGTATATTTCTGGGATAATTTGATACTTTATATCTGACCTCTTCAATCTTCGGCATTGTCTCAAGTTTCATTTGCATTTGGATATAAAATCTTGGAAAGAAGAAAAGGCGGTTTTTTGATGAGGGATTAGCACATGCATATATTAAGAGTTGATTTATATTAAACCCTTGCTGTGTGCCAGTGAGTGCCTTATTAATTCTTCAGTAAGTGGGTGCTACCACGTCCCCCATTTTATAGATGAGGAAGCCAAGACACAAGGGTAGTTAATTAATTTTCCCAAGGTCGAAGAGGTTGTAAGAGGCAGAAATTGCCTAACTTTAGGGACACTTTTCTTAACTGCAGGGGTGAAATGTCTGAAGCCAATGGAATTATGTTAATGAGAGAAGCTACTGGAACTTGGCCTACAAGTTCTTTGAGTTAAATGATAGAACTGTTTTTCACTTTTGTTATCCTGATATATGCCAGCACAACCTTTCATCTGTATTTTATTTTATTTTTTTAAAGATTTTATTTATTCATTTGAGACATGTATTTTAGCCCAGTAATCTGCTAAGGTGTTCTAATTAACAAGGACACATTCTTAGATGTGATCACCAGTGAATGAACGTGTTCTATAAACTGTAGAAAGAAATAGTTAACACTAGTTAACCTCATGTAATTGGTTTTATCAGCAAAGTTACGATATTCCAAAGTGAACTAAATGAGAACTGGATAGGAAAAAGAATTACGTAGACATCTAATCTCTCATATCACTGTTTATCTTTCTTTCTAAACTTGTCTCCTCTCTCACATTTTCCCTCTCTCCCTCCCTCTTTCGCTTTCTTTGTCACTCTCTCTCTTCCTTTATTTTTTGTCTTATTCTTTTTTATTATTTGAGTGTAGGTGACACACAATGTCCTATTTGTTGCAGGAATACACGGTAGCTATTTGACAAGTTTAAACACTATGCTATGCTCACAAGTATAGCTATCATCTATCACCAAACATTGTTATTTATAATATTATTGACTGTATTCCTTATGCCGTGCTTTTTATTTCCGTGATTTATTCATTTCATAACTGGAAGTCTGTATCTTCCCCTCCCTTCACCCATTTTGCCTATCTCCCACACCCTTTGGCAAACATTAGTTTGTTCTCTATGTTTACAGGGCTGATTCTGCTTTTTGTTTGTTTACTCATTTTTTTTAAGATTCCACATATGAGTGAAATCATGTAGTATTTGTCTTTCTCAGTCGGACTTATTTCACTTAGTATAATACCCTCTAGGTCCATCCGTGTTGTCGCAGATTGTACAATCTCATCCTTTTTTAATGGCTGCATGATATTTCTCTCTCTCTTTCTGTGTGTGTGTGTGTGTGTGTGTGTGTGTGTGTGTTTGTGAACCACATCTTCCTTATCCGTCCGTCTATCGATGGACTCTTAGGTTGCTTCTATATCTTGGCTATTGTAAATAATGCTGCCATAAACATAGGGGTGCATTTATCCTTTCAAATTAATGTTTTTATTTTCTTTGGGTAAATACCCAGTAGTGGAATTATTGGATCTTATGGTAATTCTCTTTTTAAGTTTGTGAGGAACCTCCATATTGTTTTGCACAGTAGCTGTACCAATTTGCATTCCCACCAACAGTGTATGAGGGTTCCTTTTTTTCCCACATCCTCAACAACACTTGTTATTTCTTGTCTTTTTTATTTTAGTCATTCTCACAGGTGTAAGGTAATATTTCATTGTGGTTTTGATTTTCATTTCCCTGATGATTAGCGATGTTGAGCACTTTATTATCATGTGTCTGTTGGCCATCTGGATGTCTTCTTTGGAAAAATGTCTATTCAGGTCCTCTGCCCATTTTTTAATTGGGTTGTTTGTTTTTATGGTGTTGAGTTGTATAAATTCTCTATATATTTTGGATATTAACCCCTTATTGGACATACCATTTGCAAATATCTTCTCCCATTCAGTAGGCTGCCGTTCTGTTTTATTGATGGTTTCCTTCATAGTGCAAAAGCTTTTTATTTTGATGTAGTCCTAATAGCTTATTTTTGCTTTTGTTTCCCTTGCTTTAGGCGACGTATCTAGAAAAATGTTGCTACAGCTGATGTCAAAGAAATGACTATCTCTTCTAGGATTTTTATGGTTTCAGGTCTCACATTTAGGTCTTTAACCCATTTCGAGTCTATATTTGTGGATGGTGTTAGAAAGTGGTCTGGTTTCATTCTTTTTCATGTAGCTGTCCAGTTTGCCCAGCACCATTTATTGAAGAGACTTTCTTTTCCTCATATATTCTTGCCTCCTTTGTCATATATTAATTGACTGTATAAGTGTGGGTTTATTTCTGGGCTCTATTCTGTTCCATTGATCTATGTGTATCTGTTTTTGTGCCCATACCATACTGGTTTTATTACTACAGCTTTGTAGTATATCATGAAATCTGGAATTGTGCTACCTCCAGTTTTGTTCTTCTTTCTCAAGATTGCTTTGGCCATTTGGGATCTTTTGTGGTTCCATACAAATTTTAGTATTATTTGTTCTAGTTTTGTGAGAAATGTTGTTGGTATTTTGATAGGGATTGCATTGATTCTTTTTGCCTTATTCTTTTGAGAGAGTGATCTTGTCATAACTCAAGTATATAATTCAAATATAAATGGAGGTAGATTTGGTATATGGTAAATAGATTTCAAATACTTTCAGTAGTTGGAAGAAACGCTCCCTTCCTGACCCCTAGCACAAAGATGACAAGCCCCATCCTATACTGATCTTTGTTGCTATATATCACTCTCTCAGATTATCTTCTTTGGAGTAAGGCA